TATCCACACTGTTAATAGCACTGAGATCATAAACATTGCTTTCTRCCCTGAGAGATGCTGCATCTGGAATGGCCACACCCCAGGTGCCGGGCAAATGGGCAAGACTCAGAGACACGGACCATATGAAGGTCAGTTATCAGGGCGTGTCAACACGGGTTCTGAAATAACAGTAGGGATGTGAAGAAGCTAGACCTAATTGAAAATGCAAAGAGCTTGACACTGACTCTCACAGAATCTCCATGACCCAGAGGAAGGTACTGCAATGACCCCACTTTAGAATAAAGCAACCAAGGATACACATGGCTGAGTAAGGGAAGAACAGGGATTTGTTTTCTTCTTGGGGTACTTCTTTGGGGTGGTTGTGATTTGGGGTCTGGATCCCCTACTTGACTATGATCTCCACAAAGGCTGCATCTATGAATTGGAGCTATGGTACCTGACAAAGCTCCTCGAGGAGGTGCTGATAAATAGGTATTAGTGGATGAAAGAATGAATGACAGATGGTAGGGTGCTGCCCAGCACGCACAAGGCCCTTGGTTCAACCCCCAGCACCCCCCACCCTTGCACACACACACAGAATGAATGAAACTGGACAATGCAGGGTAGAGCTTAGAACATTGTCCCTGCAGTTAGTTAGCCAACCTTTCAACAGTCTGCATCTGAGCAGGACCTGTCCTAGGGAAACAGCATGTGTTGGAGCTGACCTATGTTGGCTCACGACTGTGGATTGTTAATTTTTCAGGAATTTTGCAAGCTGGTTGTCAAATAGCCATTAAAAAGATTAAGTTACAATTAAATAAGTTATATCTTTAGGAAGGTAATAAAACCCAACATCTCCTAATTATCAGTCTACATTTTGCTGGTATCTCTGGTCTTGAAGTTATTTATGTCTCTTGTAGGGGTCGCCAACTTTCCCTGTAAAATGGCCAGGTGGTAAGAACTGTAGGCTTTGCGGTCCAGGGGCTGAGTCTGGCCCTTTGTGGTTTGCTGACCCCTGGTCTATTGTATGTTCTAGAGTGGGGTCCATCTCTTCCCAACTCCAAGCTCAGCCATGTATGGTGGGAATATTTGCACCAGAGAAATGGACACAGCATAAATTAGGGCTTCTCTTTTTTTCAGCAAGCTGTTAAACATTTACCAGCACACCACTGGATATGACCGTGAGCAACCCTGGGGTGAACTCTGCTTGCCTGGTGGGTACCGTGGATTGGGGTTCTGCCCCATTTCATGGTGGATGGGGCAAGAAAAGAGCTGGGTAAAGGAGGACAGGGATCGCCACTTGAGACAAGCCTGAGGAGGAGAACACAGTCTGTAGGTGTGGCTGCCGAAGGAGGGGCCCAGCCTGGCTCTCCTGGGCTGGCTACCAGCTCCTCTGCTTTCCTTTCCCACAGGGACTTTGCCACCTCACCAAATTCCTTAACAGAAAGGGAAGGGTGCATGAATTCTGTGCCTTCCTGTGGCTCTGTAAACCTCCCAAGTTGACAGGGAACTTAGGGGGGGCCTGGACAATTCTTGGGAGGGTCAGGACATCAGTGGACTCATGTGGCACTGAGAACAACTTAGATGCATGACCCATTCATGGAAGCTTGATGGGCTGGGAAGCTCCTGGGATTCTGATAGAGTCTGATGGCTGGACTCAGATTCATTTTTAGGTCAGTAACTGGGGACAGGTGGAGGCAGTAAGCAGGGAGGCGATGACTTGAGTTCCAGTCTGAGAGACTGGGGATGATCACAGACTGAGTGCCAATGCCCTCTCGTCTCTGTGAACTAGTCCTGTGACTGGCACTTTCCTGAGCTCCATGGGAAGTGTGACCTTGACGAACAATCAGTGTCTTACTTATGGAGCCCTGACCACCTGCAGGTTCTGAGCTGGCACTGCCATTGACCAGGAGCTTTTCTTCTTGCAATATCTTGGAGGCTCCATTTCACCTATTTTAAACTAAAGACAAGAAATATGATTTAAAGATGACATGATTGAACTGGATCCTTTCTTCCTAAATGCCTGCTCAGGAAACCATTACAAAGGAAGACATCTGCATTGTCTTCCGAAATTGGTACGGAGTAGGAAAAATGTGGAATTTGGGGTCAAATGGAGTCTCAGGCTCAAACCTTGGCTGGGTCTCCATTGTTAGCTGATCCTTTCTGGGCCTCAAATTTTCATTCTTGACATGGGGGTCATAATAATCCCCACCTCCTGGGCTGGTTGGGAGAAATGGGAGCATACAGAGCTTCTAGCATAGTACCTGGCATGTGGGTGGTGGACATCATTGTCATATTCCTGCTTAGTGCTTACTTATTTATTAACTGCTATATCTAAGTGGCATTGAGGAGGTCAGGGATGTCCTGGAAGCAACTGGGGATCCTATGCATCCTGCTTAATCTCCTCTTCTGCTGGAATTTGGGTAGAGGAAGTTCCATAGATGTCCCCCTAAAGTGGACGTCAGCTGTTCTGCTTGCCACCAGACACCCCCATTTGGTGACTTTGAGCTGGCCTCATCACCTCCCTTCTGGTTACCCATGACAGCCTTGTCACTGGCCTTCCCCACCTCCAGACTACTCCTGGGAAACCCTCAACAGCATCAAACCACAGCCATTAACCTTTGAAAATGCTATGTACAAGTCACTCCCCTGCATGGTCTGTGTGTCCCCTCTCCACCGTGCAGGTCCCTGGGCCTGCATTTCAGGGCCTGCCTGTGACCTCCCTTGGGTCACTTGTTCAGGGCGATGAGTGAGTCTCCTCAACAGGCCAAGCATCCTGCCAACTCTTTGCCTTTTTGTGGTCATTCCCTTTCTCTGGAGCTCCTGTCCTCTTTACCTGACTCCTAAAGATCTCTGGGAATACGGATATGTACACCCTGATGCCACCTTCACCCCTGGCTGGGCTAGGTGTCCCCTCTCTGTCCTTGTAGCGTGATCACACTTGTGGCCATTGTTTTTACATTGTCTTGGACACTGAACTCCATGCTTTGTGGTTAAGTCATGGGTTCTGGAGCCAAAGAAACCTGGGTCCAATCTAACTACCCCAATGGGGGAGGGCAAATCATCTAAGTTCTCTGTATTCTCATCTGCAAGAGGGGATGACGACAGCACCTATATTGCTGTGAGAGAATATAACATGGGCAAGCAAAATCCTTAGCATAGAAGAGGTCGTGGTCGACTGCAGTGCAATTATCATAGTAATTGCTGTTAACACACTGGTGCCTGGCCTGCAACCGGCGCACAGAAGGAGGGCAATAAAGGTTTGAAGGAATGGCCTAACCCCTTAACAGATTGGGGGTTTCTTGGCACCAACCATTCCCCACACCCACATCCATATCAGAAGCTGGGGTCTGGTGCTTGACCCTTCTTGCTCGCTGGTTTTCTCAAGAATGCTAAAGTTCATGGATTGAAAGAAATGCCAGCAAATTGTGGGAAGATGATGAATTTCTAATGGTGTAAGCTAAGTGCTTTTCCTGGGGCCAAGACAGCTTTGCCCAACTGCTGGGCAGGCTGGACATGAGTCTAAGTTGGCAAGGAAGCAGGCTGAGGCCTGCCTTCTGCCACCTAATCCTACCTGGCTGGCTGTTCTTGGTAGAGAGGGGTGTGAACATCTTCACCTCAGGGATGCTGTGGACACTCTGCAACATTCCTGATGCAGTTCAACACATGCTGCACATACTTGTGTGTTCCCTACAAAGGCACCTTTGCTTACCACTGAGGCAAAATCTGAGGTTTTCCATGGTGTTAGCTGTAGGAGCCTGTGGAGGTGAGAAAGGCTGGCTGCAGAGCTGAGCAGTGGCTGGGTGGCCTCAGGTGGGGCTCCATGGTGATGACAGAAAGGGAGTGCTTTTGCTTCCAATCTAGACTTGGGGAAACTGTGGTTCATTCTAAAAAGGCCCTTGGAATATGATTCTCTCCTGGGCTGCTGTGGGACTGGGGATCCCGAGGTGAGGACCAGGTCCCCTCCAGGGGAGGTGGTGGCTGCGGTGGTGGTAGTGGTGGCGGTGAAGAAGCTGGAGCTGCCTGGGTTAGGACAGAGGACAGCTGGCCAGATGACTTTGGGAGGTCCGGGGCAAAAGAAAGGAGGAAGGGTGGGACGTCTGTCCCTTAAAGGTTTGAGGACACCAAGGCCAAGTCCAGCAGACATCAGCCATAGCCCAGGAGGAGGTGAGGCCTGCAGAGTCGGGCAGTCTGAGGCAGGGCAGTGTGGGATCATCTCCGCATAACTCAAGGGACATTTTCGACTGGAAGCAGCTACCTTCTGCCGCCATCTGGCCATGGGGTGGGCAGCCTTGGCTAGGGAGGGCTGTCGAGTGGTCCAGCCTCCACCCCTCCAGCACCTGGCCGCCCCTCGGCCGTCGTGGGAACTCGGTTTCCCTCCGGGGGTCGCGGGGTCGCGGGGCGCGCGCGGGCTGCGCACGGGCCTGGGCACCGGCGGGGGCGCGGCCGGCGCGGGCTCCGCCCCCGTGCGCATTCCGGGCGGGGCGCGGGCCTGCCGGGGCTCGCCCCAGCCCCCTCCCCAGGGCCGCCCTCCCGTCGGGCCGCGCCCGCCTCCCGTCCCCGCCCGGCCGCGGGCTCCGCCTGCGAGAGGCCGAAGCCGCGGCGGCCGCCGCCGTTGCCGCCATTGACGTCAGAGGGGCGGGCACATGACCCCGCGGGGACCAATCGCGCGGGCGCGAGCGCTCCCGCAATCTCCCCGGCAGCCGGCGCGGCCCCCGCCCGCAGGCACTCGCGGACGGACGCGGACACACGCACTGCACAGCGCGCGGCGGCGCGGGCCGAGACACGCCCGCCGCCCGCCCGCCCGCCCGCGGCCCCCGCCCCCGCCGCCGCCCGGCCCGCGCCCGCCGCCCCAGCCGTCCGCGCCGAGCATGCACCCGACGAGCTAGGAGGAAGCCGGCCGCCGCAGGAAGCGCCGCGCGCCGCCGCCGCCGCCCCCGCGCCCGCCCCCCGCGGCGCGCCGCCCCCCGCCCCCCCACCCTCGCGGGCGGTGGGGGGGTGCGGGCCCCGGATCCGGGGGCCCCGCCGCCCAGAGCCAGCGCCGCCCCGCTCCGCGCGCGGCCCCCGCCCCCGCCGGCCATGGATCTGACCAGCAGCGCGGGCGGCGGCGACCCCCGGCAGATCGAGGAGACCAAGCCGCTGCTGGGGGGCGACGTGTCGGCCCCCGAGGGCACGAAGATGGGCGCCGTGCCCTGCCGCCGGGCCCTGCTGCTCTGCAACGGGATGAGGTACAAACTGCTGCAGGAGGGCGACATCCAGGTCTGTGTCATCCGGCACCCGCGGACCTTTCTCAGCAAGATCCTCACCTCGAAATTCCTGAGGCGCTGGGAGCCGCACCACCTAACGCTGGCCGACAACAGCCTGGCGTCCGCCACGGTGAGTCGCCCCGCGCGCGGCTCCCGCGACCGTCCGCGCCGCCCCCGGCAGCCCGCCCCCCCGCCCGGCCCGGGGACCCCGAGGCGGAGGCTCGGCCGCGGCCGGTGCCCGCGACCCGCTCCCGGGCTCCGGCGTTCCTGCCGCCGGGGACGCGGACGGACCCGGGCTGGGCCCCGAGGGTGGTGGAGTTCCCTTTCTGGAGACCCGTGGCCCATCTGGATCCGAGCTGCGGGGGGAAACGAAACGACCCAGAACCTCCAGCGGGGCGGAAAACCCCCSCAACCCAACAAAACCTGAAAGCCCCCAGACCCGAAGGATTCCCAGAAAAGCAGTTCCTTTCTTTGCTTTGCCCGTCCTTTCTTCTTCTCCTGCCCGGGCTGGCAGGCAAACTGGGTGCTTGCTTCCCTCTCGGAAAATCTCCTTCGCACCTTGGGAGGTCGGCGGGGGCGGGGGTCGGGGTCCTGCAACATCGCCCACGGGGTCAAGTTCTGGTGGAGGCTGGCATGGCATTGTCTGTGGACTGTGTGTGCGCGTGTTTTGCCACTGGAGGACCTATTTTGTTATTGTTATTGTTTTTCACTCTATGGCTGGGGCCGGGTCAGCTTGATGAGATGGAGAGGAGAATCCACAGATCTCCTTTTGAAATCGAATCTGCAAATGGTGGCCTTCTTCCTGGAGAAAGACAGCTGTGGTGGGCTCAGCGGGGGGGAGAGGGGGTGGCGGGTAGGAGCCTGAACAGGATGCTTTGTGTTTTGAAACAAGGACAGTTTCAAATACAAGCTCTGGCTTGGCCTGAGCTTGGCTCAGGGGGTCCCGTCCTCTTGGGAGAGGGGGCCCTGTCTTTCCCAGAATGCACACTCCCCCCAGGGCAGCTGGAATCCTGTTTACTAAGCACAGTGGGAGGGGGCAGAATCCAGCGCCTGCCCACACCTGTGCCAGAAAGCCCAGCCAGGAAACAGGGTGTCGCTTACATGGCATGTCACAAGCGTGTAGCGTGTGTAGACATTTCCCCGGCATCCATGTTCCCTTGGCAGTGTGTCACAGGCCATGACACATGCTCCGAGGAATGGGGAGGGGGGAAAGTTAGCCCAAGAATCCTACTCCTGCTTCTGCCCCCCACCCCAGCCCCCAGAGAGTTGAAACACACATGGACTTTTATTCTGAATTTTGGGTTCAACGGCGCATAGAACACCTATTTTTTCTTCCCTGTGGGCAGCTGGTGCAGTATCTGCAGACTGCTTTCTCAGGCAGGATTGCTGGCTGCCGGGAGGCGGCCTGGTCCTGCTTCCAGGCTGGTACGCGTTCTCAAACCTGCCTYTAGCCACAGGCCTCCGTGTTTGGCTTTTCATTTGGTGGAGGGAGAGCTTCCTCAAATTTGCCAGCGCGCAGGGTTTCAGATTCAGAAGGCTCTGGTGACTCCCTGCTTGGGCTCTGAGGTCTGCCTTGAGAATGTTCACCTGGCTGGTGGGCTTTACTGAGCTTTGTTCTTTTTTTCTGCCACCCCTCAGAATGAAGAGAGGTTGAGGGCAAGAGGAAATAGTTGAGAGGGACAGTGGCCTGCTGTGGAAAGGGCAGGCTGAGCCTGTGCTCCCTGGGAGAAGCCAGGAGTACTGATGGCTCTGCTGCTGGCCTTCCTGGTTTGGGGGAAGCCAGCTCTGGAGGCCAAAAGCCCCCAGCTCACCAAGGTTGCTCAAGAGGCATGTTTGAGAGGGAGAGGAAAGGAAGAGGGATTGAAGCTGCGCCTGTACTCTTAAGCAGCCAGAGGCCCCTTGCCCACCTTGGCCAGGCAAGGTGCTGGCGTCTTTGCCAGCTTGTGCCTTCCCGCAGAACACCTGGGATTTCCAGTATTGGGACTCAGGGTTATCCATGGAGCAAGTTTCATCTTGGCGGACGGAGCCTTGCCCTGGCATTAGGAAATGTGGGAAGAGGAACTAGGAGGAAGAGCCAGTGGGCTGGCACTGTCCCCTCTCCACCGCCTTTCTCCACCAAAMGCTGTGGGCGGGGCATCCTGCAGTCTGGCCCTTGCTCCTTGGGGGCTCAAGCGAGGTCCAWGGCTCCCCCTGCCCTCAGGGCCTGTGAGTGTGGAGGTGGGGCCCATTGTTCAGGTCYTGGGGGAGGCTGGAACTGGATCCTCTATGGCAGAGGTGGGATTGGAATTGTCACCTGGGACCTTGTCAGGGGCGAGACACCTGCCTGGTTGGTGTCCAGGCTCTCAGGAAGCAAAGGAGCCCCTGTGGGGTTTCCCAAAGGCCTGGGCATTATGTAATCTGTCTGCATTTTATATTGCGGCCAAGCACTCTATTGAGAAATATTAGCCCAAATGAAACAAAGGTGAATCTGAGTGCATTTCACTACAACAAAAACCCTTTGCAGCCCTGTGGCTTTGCAGTGTTCCCTGCCTATCCTTGAGCTGCCGATAGATCAGGTGTGTTTCATACAGGGTCATATCTTCCCAAGAAGTGTATGTGGCTTATTTTTAAGCCCAAATCAAAACCATTTGGAAATTATCCAGTTAATTGTGTGGGCTTCAGGAGCGGACCCAGAGTGATTGATCTGGATTCAAACCAATAAACAAACCAAATACTCTCTTTTGCCCAAACTGTCTGAGGAGTCTGTCTACACGGATCCAGTTACCCGAATCATGAGCAATAAAGACCAGGCTTCCAGGAGACACGTTAGGCTAGGGTGCAAGCTGGTGGGGGCCCCCAGCCCTCCCTGACTGGTGGCTTTAGTGGGACACACCCCTAATCTGGACCTCTCTTGGTTCCCTTCTGGGGATACCTAAAAAGGACTCCTGTGCCGTGGGGCCTGATGCCCCTCCCCTGGCCTGGCTGTAAACTTTGCCCTCTGTGGGTCGGGTCACCGCCTGCCCTGTGCCTGGTCTCCTGGGCTGGTTACTGATTAAATCATTGCAGAGCCAACAGTGTGCCCGACATGTCTTGTGACAGGCGGCCAGGTTTGATGCGCCCTGTGCTTGGAGACTTTGGATCCTGAAGGCTGTAAACAAAGGAGGAAGCTCAGGCTGATGTGGGAGGGGAGGTGGCGGGACCTGGCGACACCCTGATCTGGATGTGGTGCCCTGTTCCCTGGGCATCCAAACTTCAGCCCCCGGGCCCCCTGCTCTTCAGCTGTCACGGGTGTGCTTGTGATCGGCATCCAGGGCTCTGCCTCAGCGTCACTCTCAGCAACACCAGAATCCATTTTGCTGTCCTGGTCCCTGGGCTGGATTTGATCGCCTGCTAGACTGGTTCGGCTGCTGGCAGAGGGCTTCGTCTGGTCTTTGTTTCCTCTGCATCAAGGGAGCCCAAGCAAGCTGCTTACCTTCTATCTCATCTTACTTTTTAAAAATGTGGCACGCAGCATCTCAGAAGGGTGGGTGTAATCCCGACAGTCCTTTACTCACAGGGGTTGGGGCACACGTGGCAGTGGGGCACAAACTGTATTTGAGCTGGTTCTTGAATTCTCACCACTCTGTCGCTGGACTGAGACGTAGGGCATCTTGTCCGCTGTGGCAAGACAAGCCACCGGCATTCCCTCCGTTTCCTTAGTCAGGTGGTCTCAGGGTGGGAGGGGGCGAGGGAGCATCCTCCTAAACCTGGACTTGTTTAGCAGATGCCGACTGAGACCTACTGTGTGTCCTATGTGAGCTAACGGTCCAGATGTTGTGGTTTCTCCTTGAGTATTAAAGTCTCCAGTCCTGGGACCCATCTGAGTGCACACACGCATGTTAATTTTGTTCATTTTTGTCACATTCGTCCCGCCTCCGTGTGCCTGTCCTTCCTTCCCTTCTTTGATGTGTTTGGTGTTTTTCATGGTAGTTAGTAATAAACAGTTCTTACAGTTTTTTTTTTTTTGGGTCATAAACTTTCGGAATTCACAAACTTGTTTCCTAGATAACTCATCTGATTGGAGACGGGAATGCCGAGCAGGAGGGGCGCCAACCGCCAACTTTTCTGTCACGGCCACTGCCGTCTGCCTTCCCAGGCTGTCCTAAGGGGTGCACTTTAGGAGGTTGCCCTTTCTGGCTGCGGCGACGTTGTGCCAGTCCAGGTAGTGGGTGCCTCCCGTGAGTGGCCGTGGGAGGAAGGCACGTTGTGGCTTGGTCCTGGCTGCTCCTTGATGCCTTCCTTGGCAGGGGAAGCTGGAGTTTCTGGGGCAGCGTCTGGGGCAAAGCTCAGGGGAAGCCCGGCAGCCAAGTCATCCCCACAGGTGTCCAGGGCACCCCTCCACTGGCAGAGGACAGCGAGCTGCCACCTCTGTGGGCCAGCCAGGACTTCACTCTTCCCAGGGGACCCACTGGGTGTTTGGTAGGAATGGATATTTGAGATGGACTGCTTATGCCTTTGATTGAAGGATTAAATGAGATTAGGGAGGCAGCCTGTGTAGGGTGTCCCTGCCACGGGGCAGAGTGAACTTGGGCTGTGCCCTCATGGTGCGAGGTCCAGGTGCAGAGGTCCCAGCTTCCTGGCTGTGCGACTTTCACGTGTTGCTCTCCTTCACTGGGCCTTGATTCTTCATCTGTGGGCCACGGTCGTGCTTTCTTTAGCGGGTGGCTGTAACTGGAGAACTCAAAATAGCTGGCACATAGTAGGGTGCGACATTCGATCCATATTCCCACTCCTGGTTTCCTACTTTCCCTGAAAGCTTCCTGAGATTCTCTACAAATGGGAGAGATTATTGCTACTAAAGAATGGGGGGGTCTCCACAGAAGATCCTCCTGAGAGGGACGGAAAAGTAGGGGTGTTGGGCAGAGCTGCTGTAAATAAAGGCACCGGGGTTGTTGTAAGCAGTTAAGAAAAATTCTTCAAGGGCACAGGCTAGTTTCTTAAAAAACAACCTGCCCATGGAAGCAGTTGTGTGCATATCCAGTACATTTAAATTGTCTCTGTCCCTAAAACCCCTCCTTGCTATTACCAACGCAGACCCTGTTCTTCATTTTTTGTGTGTCCTGCTGACCTTCCTGAGCATGTACAATTATTGTTCATTGGACACTGTATTTA